AGGGGAAAAGGGAGAGAGGGGAGGGGAGAGGGGAGAAGGGAAGGGGAGAGGGAGAGGGGAGAGGGGCGAGAAGAGGTTAGAGGGTATAACTCAGTAGGACAACGCTTGCCTAGCATGCAGGAAGCCCTGGGTTCAAATGCCAGCACTAGAATGAATGAATGAATGAATGAATGAAATTGAAATGAGCATCCAAAATCAGATACAAATTAAATTTTTAAATTCATAGAATAGTACACTCTGCCAATTTTTAAATATTATTAAGTATTTTTAATGGAACATGGGATAACTTTCAGATCTGCTTGGATTTTTAATCATTTATTTATTTATGTTATTTTATTTACTACAGGGTATATCTACACAACTCAGATTTGTGGTATCCTTTTGTCTCAGCCTTCCCAGTGCTGGCATTACAGGCAAGGGCCATGAAACCCAGGGGTTCCATCAGAATGGTGGGCCCTGGATTCCTGGGCCCACACATATACAGTGTTAGGGATCAAACCACGGTCCTTGCACTTGCCAGGCAGGCGCTTAGACCACCAAGGTATCGCCCCAGCCCCAATATTTGCTTGGTTTAAAAGAGTGCTCCACTGCCTCACCCAGGATGCTCTGATCTGGCCACCAAGACCAGGTATGGTGGCGCACGGCAGTAATCCCAGCCATGGGGAGACTGAAAACAGGAGAATCTCTATGAGTGCAACTGTGAGCTGCATGGTGAGACCCTGTACCAAATACTTAAAAAAAAAAAAAAAAAAAAAAAAAAAAAAGACTGGTTGAAAAGGAAGAAAAGGTAGCCAGGGATACAGCTCAGGGGCATAAGCACCTACTTGCCTGGCCAGCTCAAGGTCCAAGTTTGATTGGTACAAACAAACACAAAGAAAAATCAATACAAATGCCTATTTACTGTAAGACTTTTTCTTCTAAAATCTGGGTATGTATATGTGTGCATACACAAACACACACATACAATAATGCAGAGCAAGGGACAACATGCTATATAGCCTGTGGTCCAATTTGGCCTATGGCATTTTTTAATGATACTGGATATTGAATCTAGGGCCCTCTTACTAATACATACACAGCTTTTTTGTTTTATTTTGTTGTATTGTTTTGTAAATTTTGAGACAAGGTCTTACTAAGTTGCAACTCACTGAAGCTCAGCACAAACTTGTAATCTTTCAGCTTCAATCTCCCAGAACCCTAAGATTATAGGAACGCATCACTACACAAGGCTCCACTGCTTATCTTTATGATTGAGTTTGTCATGTCCATTTGTTTCCACATTGTCTATAGCTGATGTTTGCTGCAATCACAGAGTTGAGTAGACTATGTGGACCTTTACAGAAAGTTGGCCAATACCTACCATAAAGAATCTGAGTACCGGCCTGATAGCTCAGTGGACTAAACCGCCTGCTTAGGCAGAACACAGGGGCCGGGGTTCAATCCCAGGTGCCATGGCAGCCCCGCCTGCAGGGTGTACTGAGACAGTGATTGAGACTGGGCGTGGTGGCACACCTGTAATCCCACCACTTACAGGAGGCTGAAAACAGGAGAATCACTACGAGTTCCATCTACATAGTGAGACCCTGTAGACCCTGGCCTAAATAAAGAAAAAAAAAATTATACTCTAAGGGTTGGGGGTGTAGGTCAGTGTAGAGCTCTTGCCTTGTATGCACTAGTCCTGGGTTCTGTCCCCAGCATAGGAGAAGGAAGGAAGGGAGGGAGGGAGGCAGGGAGAGGGAGGGGGGAAGGACTACAGAACCGAGGGAAGGAGGAAAGGAGGGAGGGAACAAAGAAGGAAGGGAAGGGGGAAGAAGAAAGGGAGGGTAGGAGAGGGAAGGAGGGAGGAAGGGAGGGGAAAGGAGGGAGAGAGGGTCGGGGAAGGAAGGAAAGCTACCCTTTCTGTCACAAGTCAACACAATCTAAATCTAGGGGGGAAAAGGCTCTATAGAGACTATAGATCTGACTAGGTCAAAACAAAGTTGAATGTTCCTCATCTCAAAATCCAAAATACTTCTGAATTAAAGCAGGAACATTTTAAATTTCAGATTTTCAGATCAGGAGTAATCAACCAAAAAAGTCTGTAACAAAACCTAAAACATTCTGAAATCTGAAACACTTCTAATTACACATATTTCAGATAGGGGATATTCAACCCGTAGACACATACAATGCCATAATGTTTAAATTATCATTAGAAGGGCTGGGGATATAGCTCAGCTGCATAATGCCTGCCTGGCAAGTACAAGGTCATGAGTTCAAGTCCCAGTATAAAAGAAGGAGAGGGAGGGAGGGAAACAGAAGGATGGAGGGGGAGGGAGGGAAGGGAAGACAGGGAGGGAGAGAGAGAGAAAGA